ATATCCCAAGTATGTACTATGGACCAGGCAATCTACTAGGAATTGAGGGGGAGGGGAGACCCCTTTATAAAATAAATAAATTAAAATTAAATTAAATAAATAAAATTCTCCTGCCCTCAAGGAACTTACATTTTCCTGGAGATCAATATGCAAGTAAATACAAAATAATTTCCTATTTCTGAATGGATTTCCTCTCCACTGTTTTCTCTCCTCTTTGAGCATCCCCAGAAGCTTTGCCCTCTTGTCTTCTCAATATATACTTTTACCTATAATGACCTCACCTACTCTTAGAGCTTCTGTTATGTAGGATCATATGGTTGAGGTAGATATATGGCACAGTGGGTGGAACATCAGACCTGGAGCCAGGGAGATCCTGTTCAAATTCTACCTCAGAAGCTAACTGAGTTACCCTGGGTGTGTCATTTAGCCTATGTTTTCCTCGGTTTCCTCAACTGTAAAATGGACATAATAATAACACCTATCTCCCAGGGCTGTTGTGAGAATTAAGTGAAATAATATTTGTCAAGCACTTAGCACAGTGCCTGGCATATAGTGTGGGCTGTAACAGGAGGGAGAGAAAGATTAGGGTTTTTTTTTTTATGGACTAGTTAGGTATTAGGCAGATATGTTCACTGCTGTTAGTCATTTTTCATTTTAATTTCATTTTGTGTCTGAGTTCATGACTCCATTTGGCAAAGATATTGGAATGGCTTGCAATTTCCTTCTCTGGCTCATTTTAAAAATGAGGAAACTGAGGCAAACAGAGTTAAGTGCCCAAAGTCACACAGCTAGTCAGTATCTGAGGCTAAATTTGAACTCAGGTCTTCCTGACTCCAGGTCCAGTGCTCTATCAACTGTACCATCTAGTTGCACATGAGATGTTAGGGTGTAATGAGCCCAGAAGGGTAGGCTGCAGCCTACCTTGGTCTCTGAGCTCCCCTGAACCTGCTTCCTGGGTCCTGGGGCCCACTGGAAACTTGAGACCTGCATTCTGATGAACCCTCAAGTGACTGGGGGAAGGGGTAGAGAAGTAGAAGTTCTGGCAAGCTGGGGAATCCCATGATAGCATAAGAGGAAGATCCCATAATCAAGGAGGTGGGGAAGAGGCTGGGAAGGGACTCCAGTGGCATCCATGGCAACAAGGAAGAGGGGATTTCAATCAGAAGGAGCTAGGCAAGTATTATATGCTCAGTCACATGGATTTTCATAGGCAGGATGCTCATAACTTGGAACTGACTTCATTACTAACTAATTTTTCACTTGTATGTTTTAAGTTTCTCATCTCCCCAACTGGACTGTAAGATCCTTTATCCAGCATTTAGCAGGTAGTCTGCTACTATTTCTTCACTGGCTTGTGAGCCAAAAATCTACTCAGCTTGCCCTGGGGGGTGAGGGGAGTTCCCTCGAGGGAGAGCTTCCCCCTCCTCCCACAGACAAAAGAATGAAAATGTGAGATCCTAAAGAAATGAACATAGAAGCTCAGGTCCTTCTCATATGCCTGGGTTGTTGGAAATGAGCTGAATAAGGATGAATAAGGAAGCAAACACAAGGAAGTTCAGCTGACACTAGAAAACTCCAGCATGGGTTTTTTTTTTTACAAAGTAAACAAATTTATTTAAATATAGTTATCAAAATTTTAATGTTTTTTAACTCCAAGTTCACTATAAGCAAATTCATAACTGGAGATAAGGGCTATGGAAATTAGTAATTTAATCATGTAAGTGAAGGATGGCATCAGAGTTTGGTGGCAAGAATAAATGCTTAGTGTTTCCTTCCTTCCTTCCTTCCTTCCTTCCTTCCTTCCTTCCTTCCTTCCTTCCTTCCTTCATTCTTTCCTTCCTAGATCTAGAACTGGAAGGGACTTCAGAGATTATCCTATACCTACCCCTTCATTTTGTAGATAAAGAAGCTGAGACCCAAGAAAATGAAGATATCTGCCCAAGGTCATACAGCTAGCAAACATTAGAGGTGAGATATGGAGTCTTCTGACTCTGGGATCAAGATCTCTTGCCACCACACTCTCATGCTATCCCCTACCTCCATGGTTAAATTCCTAATTTCTCTAGCCCTTATCTCCAGCCCTGAAATGGCTATAGGGACCCTGAGCAAATCACTTAACCCTGTTTGCTTCAGTTTTGTCAACTGTAAAATGAGCTGGAGAAGGAAATGGCAAACCACTTCAGCGTCTTTGCCAAGAAAACCCCAAATGGGACCATGAAGAGCTGGGCACAACTGAAAATGATTGAACAACGATAAACTGAACACCTTTAACAAACTACTCCATCAACAAAACACAAACCAATCTTTCTCTCCCTGCTGCCCCACCCAAATAGCCTTTGCTCAGCCCTCCATCCTCCTTATTTCCTCTTATGGCACCAGCATTCTCACACCCAATCTGGAAACCTTGGGCTTCTCTCCCCAACCCCCTCACCTCCCAGCCCAGTCAAGCTTAATATCATTTAAATTCATCTTTTTCCCATTCCCACTCCATTCTATTTTACATAGGAGAGAATTTCACCTGAATCCCTTTTCTTCTATTGTCTTCCAAAGCTTTTTTAGGTATTTAACCTTGTTAAAAACACATGGCTTAAAAGATCCAAAGTTAGAATATGTATTCAATAAAGGCTTGTTGATTGGTTAATTGAAGGACTTTTACTTTTGTATTTGTATGTCCAAAGCCGAGCATAGTGCCTGGTACATGCTTATTAAATGTTTGTTGATCTATTGACTGTGGCCCTGAGCACCTGCCTTCATCTCTCTCAGACTCAGATTCCTCATTTGTAAAATGGGAACAATCATATCTCCTGGAGTTTAGTGGAGTTGGAGGAAATGATGAATGGGAAAGCTCTGAGGTATTGTGTAAGTGCTAGGTTTTTACTACTGCTACCTTTATTAATAAAGCCCTTCTCCTCTTGTGTCTCACTGTGAGGTGGAGGTGACCTTTGGTGACCGAGTTAATGGAGCTCAACTTTGGCAATTCCTAGGAAGCTGGAAAAGCTGGGACATCAGCCCCATAATGAGTACATCTGATACTCAAGTTCCAGCCCAACCAAGTTGAGGAGGCTCATCACAAAGTTGGCTGCAGGAGGACAACTTTTTTGGCCACAGTCACTCATGACTACCCTTTAATGGACCAGAAAGGGGTTGTGGTCTGTTGTGGTCAAGGAAAGTCCCAGGCCAATGAAATCACAGCTCAGTTAAATACTAAAGCATGAAGAGATATTGTTATTAACAGCATATGTTCTATCTGTCCCACAGGAAAGCAAATTCCCATAAGTTTTTACTAAATTTTTAACGGAATTGAATGAGGTGCTCAAAGATGCTTGAATGAAGAGTGCTGGCCCTCTCACTAAGGGTCATAATTTTAGCTCAACCCTTAGAAGTCACCTAGTCCAACCCCTTTATTTTTACCTCCCTGAAGCCCACAAATGACTTGACCAAGGTCACAGAGCTAGTGACAGATTCAGGATTTGAATCTGGGTCCTCTGACTTCAAATCCGGGATGTTCTCCACTAAGGCACCTAATGTCTTAGTTCTTTCCTCACAACAACTGAACTGCAAGGTTGGTATGGCAATCATTGTTACAATCCTTCTGTTACAGATGAAGAAACTGAGGCTCAGAGAACTAAAGAAACCTGCCCAGTGTCAGAGCTGGCAATTTGAACTCAGTTCATCTGACTCTAAGTTTAATGCCCTGCCACTGAACCAGAGGTTCCCAAGTCCAGCTCCCCATTATCCATCAAAGCTTACCTTACCTCTGCCCCTTAATCCTTTCTACTTGGCCTTCACTGTGAATACTTGGCTCCACTATTAGACTTTTTTTTGTACATTCATTTATTTTAAATTTTGAGTTCCACATTCTCTCCCTTGTTCCAACCCCACCCCCACCCATTGAGAACACAAGCAATATGATACCCATCATAGATATGAAATCATGTAAAGCATGTTTTCATATTAGACATTGTTTTGACCATTAGACTTTGGGCTCCTTTTGATCAGGGACTTTCTTTGTATCCCCAGCACCTGGCACAGTGCCTACTACATAATATATGCTTAATAATAATAATACGTTTTGATTTTGAACTTGAATTTCCTCCCCACTAAGAAACTAAGCTAAGGGACCTTAAAGACCAGTTTTTAGGTGGTGGAGCCAGCATGCTCCAGTGGAGAGAGCACTGATTCTAGACTTGGAGGAGCTGGATTCAAATCCAGCCTCTGCCACTTATTACTTATCTCACCTTGGGTAAGTCCTCTAACCTTTCTCGTCCTCAGTTTCCTCAGTGGTAAAAATGAGAGCGTCAGGCTAGATAACCAAAGGTCCCTCCCATCTCTAGTATAAGAAGAGGACACTGGACTTGGAGACAAAGAACATATAGCTTCACATCTGACCTAAGACATTTATAAGTTATGTGGTCCTAGGCAAGTCCTTTAACTTCTCTGGGCCTCAGTTTCCTCAGTGGTAAAAATGAGAGCGTCAGGCTAGACAACTAAAGGTCCCTTCCACCTCTAGTACAAGAACAGGACACTGGATCTGGAGGCAAGAATACCTGGGTTCACATGCTATGTTGCCCTGGACAAGTGTCCTAACCTTTCTGGGCCTCAGTTTCCTCAGCTGCAAAATGAGGCATGTGGAATCTATGATCCTTCCAGATCTAAATCTGTGATCCCCTGGTCTAAGAAGAAGAAAGAGAAAATCCAGATGTGTCATGATGTAAATTCCCCCAGCTTTTTACTTCCTCATGCCTCTCTATGAGAGAGAACTGGAGCTTGTCTTCCTCCCTCTCATCCTCCTTCTGACCCAACACTCTGCTCACAGTGCCAAGGGCTAATTCCCAAAAAGAATGCTAATCCTTGGGAGAAGCAGAAAGCCTGATCTGTTTGGAGCACATGTGCTCTCTCTCACAGGACAACAAATTCCCAAGCTATCAATAGCTGGGTTTTGTCACTTTCTTAACCCAAACCCAAACCCTGGAACAGAAATAAAGGGAGGCTAGACTTACAATACCAGCAGAGTGCCACAAACCACTAGTAAAGTCCAGGTTTCCACGGACAGACTGGTAAGGAAACCCATGCCTCTGATTAGTGACCCAGGCTCAGAGGCTTCTGCCGCTGCTGCTGCTGCTGCTGGGGAAGGAGGACAGACATGATCTAGAAATACTTTTCTATGGGTGTGTCGGGTTTTTGCTGCTGATCACATGATGTTTCCTGCATCTGTTTGTTGATTTCTCACGACCTTTGCCTCTAAAAGGAAAGGCAAGACAATTTTCCTGTCTCAACCTAGAGCTGGTAGATTTACAATGGAAGTGACTTCAGAGATCAGTTTCATGTTATTGATGAGCAGCAAGCCTAGGTTAGGTGACTTGTGTCCAAAGTTACAGAACTAGAAAGTAGCAAAGGTAGGATTTGGGCCCCTGGTCCTCTAGCTCCAAATCCAGGACTCTTTCCACCACATCCTAAAACATTTGTTTTCTCTTGGAAGCTTTAGATTACATCCAGTAACCCAAGAATTTCCCTTTCCTTGCCTTGCTTTTCAGAAGAGGTAGACCCAGCTCCCCTAAACCCTCTCTACCCTCTACACTGTCCCTAGAATGTCCATCTGCTCCTGAAATTACCACCCAGGCTGCAAAGGGCCTCAAGTACCTCACGGCCAGTCAGTGGGGTTTTCAAATGCAGCCCACAGAGCTGGAACAGTGAATACCTTGGAAAACACGAGGTAGTGACCGCTGCTAGCAAAATGGGGTCTCTGCATCTTAAGGTTAGTTAATCAGGAGCCAAAGGGGGAGAAGAAAGGTTGAGTGTATGTATATTCACTTTTTCTTTTTGAAGAAGTGCAAAACTTTTAAGCAGAGATGCCACTTTTTTTTTTCTGTTGAGGCAACGGGTCACACAGCTAGTGAGTGTTATGCGTCTGAGGCCACATCTGATCTCATGTCCTCCTGACTCCAGGGCCAGTGCTATCCACTGCGCCACCTAGCTGCCCCAAGATGCCACTTTTTAAAGTGAAGACTTAGTAATATTTGCAGTGACAGTCATCAATACATCTGGTAGACTGGCTATGATACAAGGAAGGGTTTTGTTTTGTTTTGTTTTGTTTCCATGCAAAACATCTATTAGGTTGCAGAAGAAAACACAAACCAAAAAACCTAGAAAAGTAAAGAAAATAAAAACATGTGCTTCAGGCTACATTCGGAGTTCATCAGTTCTTTCTTTGAAAGTAGATACAATTTTTCTTCTTGCATCCTTTGTAATTGTCTTGGATCATTGCTTTGATTAGAGTAGCTAAGTCTTTCATAGTTTATCATCCTTACAATACTGCTGTCACTGTGTACAATGCTGTCCTGGTTCGGTTTGTTTCACTTTGTATCATTCCATATAAGTCTCAACAATAACAACAGCCCGAGCAGCAGCAGCAGCAGCCCAGGTTTTTCTGAAACTATTCTGTTTGTCATTTCTTATAGCACAATAGTATTTTATCACAGTAACGAGCCATAATTTGTTCAGCCACTCCCCAGTTGATGGGCATCCTGTTGGTTCCCAATTCTTTGTCTCTACAAAAAAGAGCTGCTCTAAATATTTTGGTACAAACAGGTCAATTTTAACTTTTCTTTGGTCACTTTAGGATACAGACCTCGCAGTAGTATTGCTGGGTCAAAGGGTATGCACAGTTTTGTAGCCCTTTGGGCATAGTTCCAAATTGTTCTCTAGAATGATTGGCTTAGTTCTCAACTCCACCAACATTGCATCAATGCACCACTTGGTTTTTTTTTTTACACTGTCACTGTTAACCCAGGGTGGCTCAGATCAGAAGTTTCACTTACACAGTAGGTACTTAATGAATGCTTGTTAAATTTTGAGAGATTTTGAGAGATTTGAGAGATGTCCAACCCTTATTCCAGAGGAACTGTGATGAAACATGCTACCCACCTCCATACCTGTAGGTGATGAATTCAGGGTACAGAATGAGACATTTTTTTTTGTATGGCTACTGTAGGAATTAGTTTTTCTTGACCACGTCTATTTATTTAAAAAGAAAAAAGTTTTGTTTTTCTTTTTCAGTGTGGAGGAGAATAAATAAGAGGAAGAGAAAATAGATATTTGTCATCATCTAGCTTTTCTTACAGACTCCATCTGAAGGGGAAACCATCAGCTCCTATTCCAATTTTGAGGAGCTCCGTAGTTGTTTCCTTCCATCATTCAAGAAGTCTGAGTCCTTACTTTGGTATAGAGAGTAGAATGAAGGACTTGGAGTCAGGAAGCAAAGAATCAAATTCCATTTCTGACATTTCTTAACTGTGTGTCTTGGGCCAAGCACTTAACCGCTATTTGCCTCAGTTTCCTCATCTGTAAAATGGGGACAATAACAGCACCAACCTCCCAATTGTTTTAAGGATCAAATGAGATAACATTTGTAAAGTGCTTAGCACTGTGCCTGGTGATAGTAGGTGCTATATAAATGTTAGCTATTATTATTTTTATCATCAACCTCCCTGAGTCCTAGTTTTCTCATCTGTAAAATAAGGATAACAGCACCTGGTTGTTGTAAGGTAAGGCTTTTCAGTTGGTTGGTTTGTTTGCTTGTTTGTTTCCCCTGAAATGAGCAGGATCAGCTGGCAGGATCCTGGGGCAGGATCAGTGAGAAAACTCTCTTTGCCCATCCAAGAAAGAAACTCTGGCAACTTTTAGTCTTGAAGAGTTGCCTGGGGGCACTGATATTTGAATGACCTGTTCAAGGGCACATAGCCAGAATGTGTCCAAAGGAGGATGTGAACTCGGATCTTTCTGATTCAGAGGCTAGTTTTTTCTCCACTACTCATGCTGCCCTTCATTGCTAGGCATAGTGTGCCTTAAATGGAATAATGTATTTCTTTCTTTTTCATGATCTTTTATCATTCCACTTTTCCCCTACCTAATAACCCCTAACTCTGTGCTTCATCTTCAACCTCAGGATGACTTCTAATCCCTCCACCCCTCGGATTTTTCCCGGCCATCTCTCATCTCTGCTCTGGCATATATTCTTCCTCCTTGCTAAATAGTTGACCCCTTGGTAAATAGTTCAGTTTTAGGCTGTCTTCTACATCTGAGTCCCTTGTCCCCTAGATTATTCTCATCATGCATTTCCTTTGCTCCTATTTGTAGGCAGCTTAAAGGGAGCTAGAGGAAACTACAAAACTATGTTGACTACACTATAAATTTATTCTTTATAGTCTCAATTGGTCCCTAACTGAAATAACACAATCCTTATGCACCTCCCCAATTATTTCAGTACCCCAATCACCACAATGGCTTTTCCAAACCTTTAATTTCTCCTGAGACCTCTTATCACCCCCTCCTTTTCATCACCTTCTCAGTCTAGAACCTACTCTATCCTTCTTCAAAGAAAACTGAAGCTATTCATGAGAACTCTGTCTTCTCTCTTTTTTATCTCACATCATTCTGATGTCTTCCTCCTATATCTATCCCTTTACCCCTATCTCACAGGAAGAAGTAGCCTTTTCCTAGCTATTGAAACCCTTGATCTTATTCTATCCCTTCTCCAGATGATTGCTTCCCTCTAATCTCTCTCTGTCTCTCTCTCTGTCTCTCTGTCTCTGTCTCTGTCTCTGTCTCTCTCCTCTTTCTCTCTGTTTCTCTCTGTCTCTCTTTCTCTCTCTCTGTCTCTCTCTTTCTCCCCAATTTCTCTTTCTCTATTGACTCCTTCCCAGCTGCCTAGAACATGCTTATGTTCCCATCCTTAAAAAAAAAATCCTAACTTGATTAAACCAGTCCCACTCCCATCACATATCTCTTCTTTTTATGACTTAACTCCTTGAGAAACCTATTATGGTTGCTTCTACCTCCTTTCCTCTCACTCTCTTCTAAACTCTTTGTAATCGGGCTTCTGACCCCAACATTAAACTGAAAATTTCCTCTCCAAAGTTACCATGGCTCTGTTAATTGCCCAGTCTTTTGGCCTTTTCTAAATCCCACTCCTCTTAGAGAAATACTCCTTGTGCTGTCTTGCACACTGGGCTTGATAGTGTCTCCTCCAGGCTTCCAGCCTGCGGGACTCTGTGCTCATCTGTGTATTGGAACACTTGCACTAGTCACAAAGCTTCATCACTGAGCGCCCCACAGGCAGGTCATTATTGACAGTGATTTGCCTGACAAGGCCCCTAGCAGCAATGATAAAGAGACCCCTGTAGGCAACGCCTTCATCCTTCTTCAGCACCCCATAATCTAGAGGTAGGTTTCTGGTTACATCTGCCAGCAGGGGGATTTTCAAAGGACCCAGGCCACCCTCTTTTCGAGGGGTGTTGATCCAGGCCAAGTGAGTGAACTGGGAATCCATAGATACACCAAGGACTTCTCAGGCTAGCTGATGGAAATCAGACACCCGATCACTGAAGGCAATGATCTCCGTAGGGTATACAAAGGTGAAGTCCAGCCGATAGAAAAATATGACCAGATACTTCCCTTTATAGTCCGACCTCCTTGAAAGCCCCATCGATCACAGCAGTGGCACGGAAGTCAGGGGCCGGTTTTCCAATGTGAGCATTTCCAGAGGACATGGCTGCAGGGAGGGCGGGCCCCAAGCCTATAAAGACAGGCGGCGGGTGCTCCCAGACCTCAACAGCAGCAGTTGGCTTTTATCCGCGGCCTGTACCACCTAAAGCCGAGGCGGGGGGGGGGGGGGGGGGGGGAAGCCAAATCCCACATTTTCTAAGAGGATTTTTGCAGTCTCCTCACACCCATCCTGCTAGACTCCTCTCTCTTAGATTACCTTCTTGCATATATCTTATGTAGACATCATGGTTTGCATGTTGTCTCCCTTATTAAAATGTGAGCCGCTTGAGGGTAGAAGCAGTAATCTTGTCTTTCTTTGTACACTCAGGGCTTAAAACAATCCCTGGCATATAGTAAGCACCTAATAAATGCTGTTTTGGAGCAAAGAAGTAATTTTGGCTATAAATACCCAAATTAACTGTAAAGGACTTTTGAAGGAAGATGTTATCTGCATCCAGAGAAAGAACTGATAAATAGAAGTATGTACAGAATGATTTTACACACACACACACACACACACACACACACACACACACACACACACATACATTTATGTCCAATGGTAGTCATCTCTAGGGCAGGGGGGAGAGGGTACAGAGAGAAGAAA